GTGTGGTGGGGAGCTGGGCGGGGTGGGAGCGGATGGGCAGAGAGAGTTGTGGATGGAGGCCTTGTGGAGTCTCTTCTCCCCCCTGCGAGGTAGGGCTGTTCCTCGGGGCACTTGCTGCCTTGCAGGCTGTGGGGCAGGCCTGCCCGGATCGGATCTGGACTGTGCAGGAAGTGTCCGGGGGGCTGGTCCAGGTGCCAGCCCCCACCCTGTCATCTTCCTGTTCTGCTGCCCCGGGCGCCCAGAGGCAGTGGTGCCTGTCTGGATTGCAGGGCGAGAGGGGAGCTGTCCCTGCAGGGGGGGTTGAGTGGGTGGTCCCCCGACGCCCCGGATGTGGGGATCGCACTGTCTGGGGCAGAATGGGAGCCAGGGGATGCTGCCTCTGCTCTGGCCCTGCTCCCGTTTCTCCAACCCCAAGGGCCTGAGGCAGCTGGCTCTGGGGGGTGCGCTCCCTCCTCCAGGCAAGGCCCAGATGGGCAGGAGCTGCTGACAGCCCCTCCCTGGCAGAGCTGGGAGCCTGGCCTGGAGGATCCCCAGCTATCGCACTGTCTGGGGCAGAATGGGAGCCAGGGGATGCTGCCTCTGCTCTGGCCCTGCTCCCGTTTCTCCAACCCCAAGGGCCTGAGGCAGCTGGCTCTGGGGGGTGCGCTCCCTCCTCCAGGCAAGGCCCAGATGGGCAGGAGCTGCTGACAGCCCCTCCCTGGCAGAGCTGGGAGCCTGGCCTGGAGGATCCCCAGCTGCGTGGGCGACGTGACTCCCCCGCCCCCGGCTAACACCAAGCAGCTGTGCTTGCATATGGAAGCCCTTAGCCTGGCGCTGCCTGTAAGCGGAGCTGGGCGGAGCCACAGCAGCACGGCCCTGGGAGCAGGGCTACCCCCGGCTACAGCTGCTGAGTGGGGGCCGGGGAAGCAGCATTTCCGTGCCTCCCCCTCCCCCGGAAATAATCTGGTGGGGTGGGAGCTGCAGCCATGTGGCTAGGGGGCATCGGGGAGCCTGGCTGTGAGGACCCTGCTGGGCTCCAGGGTGCTGGCACACCCCCAGCTGCCTGCACCCCCTCTGGCGGGGAGCCTGGCTGTGAGGACCCTGCTGGGCTCCAGGGTGCTGGCACACCCCCAGCTGCCTGCACCCCCTCTGGCGGGGAGCCTGGCTGTGAGGACCCTGCTGGGCTCCAGGGTGCTGGCACACCCCCAGCTGCCTGCACCCCCTCTGGCGGGGAGCCTGGCTGTGAGGACCCTGCTGGGCTCCAGGGTGCTGGCACACCCCCAGCTGCCTGCACCCCCTCTGGCGGGGAGCCTGGCTGTGAGGACCCTGCTGGGCTCCAGGGTGCTGGCACACCCCCAGCTGCCTGCACCCCCTCTGGCGGGGAGCCTGGCTGTGAGGACCCTGCTGGGCTCCAGGGTGCTGGCACACCCCCAGCTGCCTGCACCCCCTCTGGCGGGGAGCCTGGCTGTGAGGACCCTGCTGGGCTCCAGGGTGCTGGCACACCCCCAGCTGCCTGCACCCCCTCTGGCGGGGAGCCTGGCTGTGAGGACCCTGCTGGGCTCCAGGGTGCTGGCACACCCCCAGCTGCCTGCACCCCCTCTGGCGGGGAGCCTGGCTGTGAGGACCCTGCTGGGCTCCAGGGTGCTGGCACACCCCCAGCTGCCTGCACCCCCTCTGGCGGGGAGCCTGGCTGTGAGGACCCTGCTGGGCTCCAGGGTGCTGGCACACCCCCAGCTGCCTGCACCCCCTCTGGCGGGGAGCCTGGCTGTGAGGACCCTGCTGGGCTCCAGGGTGCTGGCACACCCCCAGCTGCCTGCACCCCCTCTGGCGGGGAGCCTGGCTGTGAGGACCCTGCTGGGCTCCAGGGTGCTGGCACACCCCCAGCTGCCTGCACCCCCTCTGGCGGGGAGCCTGGCTGTGAGGACCCTGCTGGGCTCCAGGGTGCTGGCACACCCCCAGCTGCCTGCACCCCCTCTGGCGGGGAGCCTGGCTGTGAGGACCCTGCTGGGCTCCAGGGTGCTGGCACACCCCCAGCTGCCTGCACCCCCTCTGGCGGGGAGCCTGGCTGTGAGGACCCTGCTGGGCTCCAGGGTGCTGGCACACCCCCAGCTGCCTGCACCCCCTCTGGCGGGGAGCCTGGCTGTGAGGACCCTGCTGGGCTCCAGGGTGCTGGCACACCCCCAGCTGCCTGCACCCCCTCTGGCGGGGAGCCTGGCTGTGAGGACCCTGCTGGGCTCCAGGGTGCTGGCACACCCCCAGCTGCCTGCACCCCCTCTGGCGGGGAGCCTGGCTGTGAGGACCCTGCTGGGCTCCAGGGTGCTGGCACACCCCCAGCTGCCTGCACCCCCTCTGGCGGGGAGCCTGGCTGTGAGGACCCTGCTGGGCTCCAGGGTGCTGGCACACCCCCAGCTGCCTGCACCCCCTCTGGCGGGGAGCCTGGCTGTGAGGACCCTGCTGGGCTCCAGGGTGCTGGCACACCCCCAGCTGCCTGCACCCCCTCTGGCGGGGAGCCTGGCTGTGAGGACCCTGCTGGGCTCCAGGGTGCTGGCACACCCCCAGCTGCCTGCACCCCCTCTGGCGGGGAGCCTGGCTGTGAGGACCCTGCTGGGCTCCAGGGTGCTGGCACACCCCCAGCTGCCTGCACCCCCTCTGGCGGGGAGCCTGGCTGTGAGGACCCTGCTGGGCTCCAGGGTGCTGGCACACCCCCAGCTGCCTGCACCCCCTCTGGCGGGGAGCCTGGCTGTGACTGCGTCACGCGGTGGGTGTGCCGGGGCCAGGCCGCGCCCGCTGGCTCTCACACCCCTTGTGCCCGGCAGGGAGCACAGCGTGGTCTACCTGGGGGACAAGAATGCCCTGAACCTGACCTTCAACGCCTACAACCGCGGCGAGGGCGGCGCCTACGAAGCCGAGCTCTACGTCACCCTGCCCGTGGAGGCCGACTACTCCGGGGTGATCCGCAACCAGGGGGTAGGTGGCAGAGGACCCTGGGGATCGGGCAGCCCAGGACAGTCGGGCAGGGCCCTCTGCTGCCCCAGTGACACAGGCTCCAGGGAGACATGGCTCTGGGCTGCAGCTCCTTGGCATGGGCCCCTCGGTGCCAGACATCCCCCGGGGCAGGATACGGGCAGCTTGGGCTGGCCATGTGCTGCCTGGAGCAGGGGGACCCCTGGGGACAGGACTCCGGCACAAGAGCTGGCCCCCCAGAGCAGGGTGGGCGTGTCAGGCAAGAGGGCAGGTCCGCGCCCGGTGGGGATTGCAGGAGGAGGGGCAGCTCTTCTCATCTCACATCCCCCCGCCCCCGGCAGAACTTCACCAACCTGAGCTGTGCCTATGAGTCGGTGAACCGGACCCGCACAGTGATCTGCGACCTCGGCAACCCCATGAAGGCAGGCACCAGTGTGAGTAGCTGCCCTGTCTGGAGCACCCTGGGGGGCTGGCCAGGGGCCCTCGCTGGGCAGTGCCTGCTGCCTCAGCACCACCGGCTCTGCTGAGAGCCCACGCAGGACTTTGGGGTGGCA